CAGTAGCATGATGTCTGTTGAACTACGTCATACAAAATGGTCGCCCATTGTTTACATTCGCAATGAGCGAGAATTTCGGAGTAACAGAACTCTGTAATGTAATTTTAAGAGGATTAAATGTTAATGAAGTTGTTTATTCCTTCTTTTTTTCAAGTCAGTAAATTTTTATATGAAAAACACCTTGTTTAAAATATGTACACCGGTATCGTGGAGACCCGGGCTATATAGTATACCATTGGTTTGTGACTGTGAGAACAGAAACTTTTCTTACAATTACTATTATTTAAATATAGTTCTTGGATAAGACAATAATATGATCATAATTGCACTCATTACTCTTATTTTCTAATTCCACTTGTTACTGAGGTTAATTTAAATTAAAACTGCCTATTGAGTCCATGTTTACAAAAGATCTGAAATGATAGAACTTAAAGTTCTGAGTCATTGACAAAAAAAGTGAAATCCCCCTTTTTAATTTATTTTTATTAAATTTAAGGTCTATTTTAGTTCAATTCAATATTTGAGGTCTATTTTGGTATATCATAAGTATCAAAATATTTTTAGTATAAAAAGGGAGTGAAACGTCTTGGTATGAACCGTCTCAATAGTGAAACGTCTGTCTGCCGTCAACTTGGATGCCATTTATCGTCTTGTTCATGATCTTCTCGTCATATCATTTTGATCAAAGCTGTTCTGTGTTATTAACGTCTACTTGTAGACACCCCGTGAACTATGAAGTAAACAGTACCGTCTTCCATTTTCGATTCCCAGATGATGTGGTCACTTTTGTTGTGAAAGATCATGAAGTCTGTTCTATGGTTATTCGCACTCAGCATAAATTGGGAAAAAATTTGAAACCTACATGTAGTGCATGACCAATATAATATAACTTATCATTTCTTATAAGGAACAGTTCAAATTTTCCCAGAATTTGCATCGGTGTAATTTTTTAGGCTATTGTTGGGAATTTTTTTATGATGGGGGGGGGGGGACATATTTTAGATTGCAAATTGGAGCCTTATATTGGCCCCATGTGATAGAATAAAAATGCCCTGCACTTAAAAGTTCCCTGTGCAGTTGTTGATTTATATCTCTCAGATTCTTTTGATTGCCTTTCTAATTTGCCTACCAACAAGATAATGGCTAGGAAATTAGAGGTGCAACGATTTGTTGCGATACATCGAAAACTGGTATTTTGATATGATTTACAACCAGAAATAAGCACAGAATTAATACAACTTTTGGTCCCTGTCTGACTAGTCTACCGCTTTATTATGTTACGTGCAATTGTTTATTTATCTTGGTTATCCAATTAGTGAGCACATTGTGTTGTATTTTTGGTAAACATATCAGAATGACTTCAAACATCAAAGTAGAAAAATAATAAATCTAAAATATTCTTCAACAATTAAATAAAGGAAGTAGGGGTGAAAAATTAAACAAAGCAACATGTAACTCGTAAGATATGTTTTGAGGCGTGTCATGTCAGAAGTTGTTAAGTACAACTAACTTGATGCAACACATGAAAAGAAAGCTCTGATGTTAATGTGTTAAAAAAGTCTATTTTAAGTTTGTAAAAATGTCAGATGTTTAAATTTAAGTGTACTAATCATATAACTGTGATAGTTTGGTTTGAATAGAAGTGTTTACTAAACAGACCAATTTTTATTTTCATAAACACTACTAGTAATAAAAAGTCAAATAAGTTGAGACAAGTAAAATGGTTTCCTGCGGGGAACATTTTTAATGATACAAAGATATTTCATTTAACTATTTTCAACATTGTTTTGGGGGGGGGGGAATAAATAAACGTTTGCATCATGAATATAGTTGACAATAATCGATCAATATAGAAGAAGGTCTTTGGTGACTGGTGACCGTTGAAGACCAGAGAAGATCGAACATAAAACAATTATTTATTTTAAGAAAATGATTAAATAGGCCTACCATTTTAGCAAAAGAAAAGTAAACACACAAGTTTACACAGAAAATATCTCTATTTATTAGATGCCACTACGTATATTTTTATCTTGTAGATTTTCAGTATAAACAATTTATTGTTTGTAAAAATTAAAGAAACATTGATAATTTTCAAACACATCATTAAAGTTTTTCTACCTTAAAAGGTAAATAATTATAGAAAATTAGAAATATCACGTAATTAGTTTTTTGTTCTTAATGAGGTGTAATTCGGAGGTAAATCCGTAACGTACCGGCAAACGGTATTTAGCTAGGTTTTCGAAAAGGTCAATTAACCAATCATGTACGGTTTACAGATCACATGCTCCTCCATGTACCGAAAACAGGTCACGTGCTCCTCCATGCCTCAAAAGTTAAACGCGTACCAATACACCTGCGGTCTCCAGACCGCAGGGAATAATGGTTATACAACAAAAGAAATGAAGAAGAAGAAACCTATGTCAAGGGCCACTCACTTGTAAGAGCAAACAAGCAGAATTTATAATTGTTAACTGAAGACAAAATAGTAATGTGACATACAATCAAATCAGGGGTGGTTAAAATTGAAATCATATAAAATCGAACATTTGGTGAAATGTTGTAGCCCTATAGGAAATTGTCCCAAATATTGTCATCCTATTGTACCTCTCTGCTGTAGGTAAGGAAAATAGATACAGAAATTGAAAATAAAAAATATGTAAATTTTTCTATTTTTTATAGAAAAATGTTGTTAACCATACATTTGTTTTGCTCATTTCAGTGTCTTATGAAAAATGAGTACAGTGTGTGAAGTAGGTTTGGAGTCCCCGTTTAAACCAGCAATTAATGAAGCTGATACTCCTAGAGAAGAAGCCTGTAGCAAATATGGCTCAGAACAGGATAATTTAGGTATGACTCCCATGATAATCTGATTGCTGCTTCACTGTCAACATTTGATATATGCCCTTTGAGAAAAACTCAATCTTCTTAAAAATGTTCCTTTATTGTTATAAATGTTGTCATAGACATTCAGTCACTTATCGGGTGCTTTGATCGATTTTTTTTACCTTGAGTCAAACAGGTTTATTGTGAAACCTTGTTCATATTATATGTAAGAACTCTAGAATAGTCTTTATTATTTTATCATTATTTCAGGGGTTTTTTACGCATATTGATAACAAATTATTTTTGTTTTTTATTTGTTTTTTAATTGTTTTTTCAAGTAAGAGTACAGGCATATATTTATTTGTTTAAACTTGAACAGGTATGTTCCAGTATATCAGAATGTCAATGAATTCCATTCATGATGTGTTATTTACCAAACATGATTGTATTGTGTGATAAAAATCGAGGTGCAATCTAGTAACCCTCATTTACAATTAAACTCACACTGTGACACAGTAAGAAACCTTATGATGGTTAAGTAAGGAAATACACATGTCTAAAAAATGCATACAGAACCTTGATATATAAGTCATAACACAGGTTAAGAATAGCATTCCTACAGCCAGGAACTTTCTCAAATAGAACCAGGTCAGTCATTGAGTGTTGAAGTTGTTTTTCATCTGCTTAACTGTATTTCCTATTTTTAACCATGTAAATTGGATCATCAAGGTGGTCCCCATTCTTATTTGTTCATTGTTCACAATGCATACCGCATGGAAAACAAATCCGTGATATCAAACAAAAATCTTTGGTATAGCTCACACTGGGTAGAATTTTAAGGTATTCAAGAAATCTGGGCTCTTTAAAACAACCTTTATTTTAAGAAGTTTGTCCATCTTTTGAACCGTTAATTTCGCTTTGATTTGTGATAGAATGTGTTTAGTGATTAAAATAATTTTCAAGACTTTCATATTGTCTTGTTTTAGAATCAGTCGATGCGGGGGATGTAGAGTCAGTAGGTATGGAGAGTGCAGAGTCAGTATCAAGCTACCCTAATGATGAAATGATTACAGAGAGCGAGATTAAAGAGGAAACAAAACATGAAAAAGAGGGGGAGGCTGAAGAGGAAGCTGAAATTCAGAAAAGAAAAGAGGTTTGTAACTTGTTAAAATATTAAGTAGTTACGTAGTTTTCAGCTAAGCTGGTTGTAAAGGTCATATGGCACCTTTTCAGGAAGGCCTCTCAGTTCATTATTTTATGTACATGCAACATGCAGGCACCCAAGTAAAATTATATATATCAACATGGTTTGCATGCATGTTTTGTCTGTTCAATAACAGATACTTTCTCTTGAAATTAATGATATGCATTTGTGTCTGAAGTCCTCACTCATGTGAGTTGAAGAGATTGATGAATTGACTATTACCATTTTGTATTGGATTTAGTAAGAAAAGTGTGACCTTGATTTTGTTTTAGAATGTGATATTTTTAGACAAGTTGTATCTTAAGATAAAGTATTAAATACAAATTATCTTCAGTTATGCTTTTATATGGATCATTGTAATAATTATCTTCTGTAATGGTTACATATGGATCATTGTAATAATTATCTTCAGTTATGGTTTCATATGGATCATTGTAATAATTATCTTCAGTTATGGTTACATGGATCATTGTAATAATTATCTTCAGTTATGGTTACATATGGATCATTGTAATAATGATCTAAAGTTATGGTTACATATGGATCATTGTAATAATTATCTTCAGTTATGGTTGCATATGGATCAAAACACGAAGGAAGAGAGATATAAACGTCTTCAGTATCTGCTAATGAAGAGTAACATGTATACAGAATATCTCCTTAGACGTATGGAAAAACAGAGGGAGGAAGAAAAGAAGAGAAAAGAAAGACTTATCAATGTAGGATTTTTTTAATTTAATGTATCTTCAAGGATATATAAATGTTAAGGGCTATTTTCCCTGATAACTTGACAACATTAATTTTCTAGAGAAAAATTTAAATATATTTTGTTCTTAATCCTTTTGTTGTAATTAAATAAATACAAAATTTCATGATAAAGATTTGACAAATAAAGAACTGTTATTCATCACTTTGAAATTTTGTCTGTAAAAAGAAATCATAGAATGTTAAAATTTATTATACCCCTGAAACAAAGTTGGGGGGGGGGGGGATAGGAGTCACTCGGTGGTCGGTCGGTCCAGCCGTCCGTTGCATTTTCCTTGTCCGGAGCATAACTTGAAGATTAATTGTGGAATTCAATACAACTTCATACACTGGTCAAGCACATTGAGTGGAAGTGCAGTGCACAAGAACCAGTAACTTTCCTGGAACGATGGTTAGGAAACTACCCGCCTAAATGACTGAAATAGTGTTGGAAAAAGGCATAAAATGAAACAAACAATTTCCTCATAGTTAATTTGTTGATTTACAGAAACAGGCCAAGGAAGAGGAGAAAAAGAAAGAAGAAAAGGACAAACAAGGCACTGAACCATCACAGGTGTGTGATTATTTATTTTGATATCAGCATCTGTAAGTGTTGATGTGAAAGTTACTCAAGTGTCATCTGTAGGGCCATTGTTAGAAAGAATTTTTTATGTAACAAAGTTGTTGAATTTGTTAACAACATTTTAATTGCTCCTGCTACTTTGTGGGCATATTTATTTGTTTGATAAAACAGTGGAATGTGGGGGTTTATATGTCATATGGACACATTTCTTGTTTGGGAACTGTTTTTAACCAGTATTTTTGATAGCTAAGAAAAACTGTATTTGAGCATATGATTACTGTTTCAAAAGAAGATAGGGATTTAATTTGACATGAAAAATTATGCCCCTTTCTTGATTGTCAAGTTTTCAAAGACCAGTGCTTATTCCACTATCAAGTGTTTAGTCTAGAGACTAACTAAACTTGAACTTTTTCGAGAAAGCAAAAGTAATAAAGAAAAAAAAAACTAGGTGTCAATTACAGTTGTGATTTATTTATGGTTGGCAGTGAGTGTTTTATACTACTTTTAGACAACAGACTCTAGAAAAACACGGGGATCATTAAAACTTCGAGCACCAATTCCTAAACGAATGTCAAAAACCAATACTCCAACAACTTCACCAGCAACTGCAGGTGTAGACAGTAATAAAACTCCTGAAGTAGAGGCAGCTAAAGTTGATGATGAAGGAACATGTTCTCAGACTGAAGCAAATACTGAACAAAGTTCTCCTACTGCAGATAAAGAGAATACTTTTACTAGAAAGAAAACTAGAAACAGTCTGAAACCTCCAGAAGAAGAAGGTAAAGGATAAAGAAATACATTTTGGTTTTTTTTGTGTACGTGTATTGACTGTATTCTAATATAGTATTATAAAATTATGAGATTATATGTGCATGTTATATATTTGAGCAGGCCTTTGTGATTGATAATAAAGCAGACCAAAAATACTGTAATTTCTGTTGTAAATGCTTGAAGCAAAGTCTTTTGTTAGTTGCTTATAGATATAGAAGAGAAGTATGGTTTGTTATGTGTTATTTGATTCTAGAGATTCTTTCATGTGAGGAGATTAACTTATGGGGGGGGGGGGGGGGGGGGTCTGTGGCCGAGTGGTTAAGGTCATTGACTTCAAACCACTTGCCCCTCACCTCTGTGGGTTTAAATCCCCTACAGGGACTTTGGATTCTTTCATGTGAGGAAGCTATCCAGCTAGCTTACAGAACGTCTGTGGTTCTACTCAGGTACCCGTTCGTGCCTAAAATAATGCACAGAAGGGCACCTGAGGTCTTCCTCCACCAGTAAAGCTGGAACGTTGCGATATGACCTATACTGTGTTGATGTGACGTAAAACCCAAAACAAACAAACAAAAGATTAACTTATGAAATGTTGTATTTGTACTATTATGCCTGCATGGGCATTATAAAATAATGATTTGAATGCACCAGAGATTTTACTCCACTGTTAAGGGTTGTATGTTGCCAAATGACATTTTACAAAGTTAGTGTGACTTGAAGCCCCACAAGGAGGTAAAAAAAATTAAGATACAAAAGATTTAAAACTACTGCATTCCTAGAACTTCCATGGGTACAGTATTTAGCATTTGCATAAGGATAGTGGTTTCACAGAGACAAAAACTTTAAAACAATATTATGGATCGCGAATATTAAGTCGCTGTTGTAAAGAGCATATATATTTTCTAATATCACAATTACATTTCTGTATTTACTCTCTCTATACCCACAAGACATTGTAAGACAAACAATATTTGCAAAATCTTTAAATTTGTAAATTTTGTACACAAGTTTTTGGTATAGATATCCACCAAATCAATGGTATAAAAAATCTCCCAAATAAAATATTTCCAGTACTATCATTTAAAAAAAAAATCAGTGGAGTCCCTTTAATCTTGTTAAGATTTGCTATACACAGATTTTGTGAAAACTTTGAGAGTATACCTAGGAAGTAAACTTATACCAGATGAAACTAACGAGGAAGAATTTGAGGAAAACTCAGAAGAAGACCCTCTTTGTTAGTCATATGTATAATATTGCCTGCATTCTTTTTGTTGGATTTTAAAATGTTTCTAAAAGCATCCGAGCATAACTTTTGAGTGATATGGATGGCTCTCAACACAAATTGTATTTCAGTTTGAAATATAACCTAGTTGTCTGCAACAGCTTTCATATACTTACATACAACTTACTTAATCTCCAATTAAATAAATATTACTAATAAAAGTAGAAATATCCAACATTTCACTTTAAGGCGATTCATGCACTCATGAAATATATGCTGGATAGCTTGTGTTATGCTTTTGTTCTTGTTCTCTGTTTGTTGTTTAATATGTGTTGTTGTTATGTTATTTTATTATTGTTGTTAAGAACAGATTACAAAACATGTTAAAAGTTTGCTACTTAGTTTTAAATCTATCAGTGATCCAGAATTGCAATTGTGGGGGAATGTCCATATATTGATTGTACTTGTAGACAAACCTGATTATGAAAGGACCTTGCAATACGCAGGTTAAAATGATCTTGGTTTACCTAGACTTTTATTGGGTAGATTGTAACACTGCATTACATAGAGCATAAATATTTGGAATGTTGTTTTGTCTAGTGGATCTATACAGAAGTTTTAAAATCATGATGAAGAGGTCAAACATGTATGTTGTGCTGTTTAAAAAAATGGTACTCAGTAAATGATATTTATTTAATATTGGAATACACAGAATATTTTAAGATATTATTTAAAAGTGTAAGTTGAATAAAATACATTTTTTATTTGATCAGTGGAGATGATTTACTCATAATGTAACATATGTGTGTACTCATTTTAGATACAGAGTCAAAGAAAGGCAGAAAAAGGAAGAACATGGATTATAATGAACAATCACCACAAGGTGCCAAACTGCTCACAAACATTTTCCAGGTAAGATATGGAAAGTGAATTTGGGATTGAATTGTTAATATTTCATGATAAAAATTGTCTTTGGGATAATAGGAGGCAATAAATATTTTATGTTCATCTCTAAAAGTATTCTTGTAACATCATTGAGTGGTCCCCTAAATTTTTAAATAGCCATCCTTGGGGCGTCAATGGCTGAATTGACTTAAAATCACTCGCCCAATTCCACTGTAGGTTCAAGCCTCGTAAGCGTAATGGAATTCTTTCATCCAGCTAGCTTACAGAATATCTGTGGTTCTACTCGGGTCCCAGCTTGTGTCTGGAATAATGCACAAAAGAGCATCTGAGGTCTTCCTCCATCAATTAAGCTGGAATGACCTGTGCTGTTTTAGTGTCACATAAAAACTCCACCGATAAAATTAAAATCTTCTAATATCTTTTTTGTCAGAAACCTTTAGACATTTAGCATAATGGCCTCTACTAACATTTTCAGAGCATGCCTACTTAGACCAACGGTCGGACAAATCTCAATATTTTATTATGCTCCCCGAAAAAATTTCGGGGGAGCATATAGTCGCCGCCTTGTCCGTCCGTCTTCCCGTCGGTCGGTCCGTCCCTTTTCTTGTCCGGGACATAACTTTGAAACAACAAGAGGTATCCACATGAAACTTTGTAGGTAGATAGATCTCATTGAGTAGGTGTGCAGTGCACAAGAACCGTAACTCTGCCTTGCCTTATTTTTGAATTATCCCCCTTTGTTTATTTTACACTTTGAACTTTGTCCGGGACATAACTCTAAAAGTATAAGAGGTATCAACATGAAACTTTGTAGGTAGATAGATCTCATTGAGTAGGTGTGCAGTGCACAAGTACCGTAACTCTGCCTTGCCTTATTTTTGAATTATCCCCCTTTGTTTATTTTACACTTTGAACTTTGTCCGGGACATAACTCTAAAAGTATAAGAGGTATCAACATGAAACTTTGTAGGTAGATAGATCTCATTGAGTAGGTGTGCAGTGCACAAGAACCATAACTGCCTTGCCTAATTTTTGAATTATCTCCCTTTGTTTATTTTACACTTTGAAATTTGTCCGGGATATAACTCTAAAAGTATAAGAGGTATCAACATGAAACTTTGTAGGTAGATAGATCTCATTGAGTAGGTGTGCAGTGCACAAGAACCGTAACTCTGCCTTGCCTACTTTTGGAGTTATTGCTCTTTGTTCATTTTGACACTTTGACTTTGTCTGGGACATTACTCTAAAAGTATAAGAGGTATCAACATGAAACTTTGTAGGTAGATAGATCTCATTGAGTAGGTGTGCAGTGCACAAGAACCGTAACTCTGCCTTGCCTTATTTTTGAATTATCCCCCTTTGTTTATTTTACACTTTGAACTTTGTCCGGGACATAACTCTAAAAGTATAAGAGGTATCAACATGAAACTTTGTAGGTAGATAGATCTCATTGAGTAGGTGTGCAGTGCACAAGAACCGTAACTCTGCCTTGCCTTATTTTTGAATTATCCCCCTTTGTTTATTTTACACTTTGAACTTTGTCCGGGACATAACTCTAAAAGTATAAGAGGTATCAACATGAAACTTTGTAGGTAGATAGATCTCATTGAGTAGGTGTGCAGTGCACAAGAACCGTAACTCTGCCTTGCCTAATTTTTGAATTATCTCCCTTTGTTTATTTTACACTTTGAAATTTGTCCGGGATATAACTCTAAAAGTATAAGAGGTATCAACATGAAACTTTGTAGGTAGATAGATCTCATTGAGTAGGTGTGCAGTGCACAAGAACCGTAACTCTGCCTTGCCTACTTTTGGAGTTATTGCTCTTTGTTCATTTTGACACTTTGACTTTGTCTGGGACATTACTCTAAAATTATAAGAGATATCAACATGAAACTTTGTAGATAGATAGGTCTCATTGGGTGGAAGTGCAGTGCTTAAGAATCATTCCTCTGCCTTGCCTTATTTTGAAGTAATTGCCCTTTGTTTATTTTTACTTTTTGACTTTTATCCTGGACAATACTTTAAAACTATTAGAGATATGCAACATGAAACTTTGTAGGTAGTTAGATATAATTGGATAGAATTGCAATGCTTTAAGAACCTAAACAAAGTGTGGTCTAATTTTGGAGTTATTGCCCTTTGTTCATTTTTACACTTTGACTTTTACCCGGGACATAACTCTGATATCATCAGGAAACTTTATAGATAGATAGATCTCATTGAATAGAAGTGCAGTGCAAAAAAACATAACTCCGCTTTGCCTAATTTTGGAGTTTTTGCCCTTTGTTAATTTTTTTTATACTTTCCTGTGTCCAGAACCTTCTCGGGGAGCATCACCCGGTTCAACCGGTTCTTGTTGAAATATGATGGCAATGGTTTCATATTTTTGTAGGTTTTTTTGACTTAATTTTGATTATTCACAGTTCAAGAAGAGAAAAGTGGAAGATGAAGATAAAAGTACAGAAATCAAAATTGTGAGTTGTTTGAATTTCAGTCACAAAATTTATTGAATTTGTGTTTTTCAGGCTTGAATTGTTTATAGAAAGTTATTGTCTGAGATGTTTTTATGTGTTATAGTTTAGTATGTATATATAAAGTACTAATACAATATAGCTTGCAAACATTTGGCATTTGTTATAACCATGATAAGTATATGTATGTGACCATTAATTGATAATGATTCACATTGAAAGAAGGTTACCAGATAACTAAAGGATTTCTGAGGTAGAATGTATAGAAGCACATTAGATGAACCTTCACCATTTATAAGGGTCTTATTTATGGTCATCAGGACTAAAAATACATTTATCTTATATTTCCATTGACTATATGGTTTATATTTGGTATGAATGCAGCATACATACATGGATATCTACATTTATATGGGGTTTTACATGAGTTGACATCTTTCTCATTTGAAAAAAAATCTATTGAAACTGAATATTTTTTTTTTCCAGAGCCATTGCAAAAGAATTTTATAAATTTGTCTGAAATTACTATCTTGCGATATCTTTTTATGTCATCAGTCATCACATATGATTTATTGGTTTTCTGGTATATTTTAGGAAAGAAAAATTAAGAAAGAAGGGGAGTTATTTCAGGGTAAAGCTGATGTTGCAGATGATGGCACTATTTTACGTCCAGCTCTATTTTCCGGCGGAAGTCTACGAAAATACCAAATAGAGGGCCTCAACTGGCTTAAAGTAAGTTTACTGTTACCATTTCTTATGCTGAATAAAACAACAGAAAAATCAGTTTCATTTCCTGTTTATAGTTTACCAGGATGCTTCTTATTTTTTGCTAGCATCAATTGTCTGCTATCCAGGTAAAAAATTCTGATGTATTGAATATCCTTTTAAGTATGTAAATAATGCAAAGATCTTGGGGTTTTAGCCCCCTATTCTGGCCATTATGATGTTTACTCACACACCATTATTGTATGCAGGTTATATAAAACATTTTTGATTTGAATCTCTCAGTGTACATTCTGTATTAGTTTCTGACCAGTAAGATACATGAGATGAGCAAATTTCTTTATAGCCTATGACCCTGGTGAGTTCCAGAAAGCAGACTCAAATGATTAATATAATTTGTAACTTATTTCTCAATCAAGCTGAAATGAAAGTATGTTAAAACCATGTACATGATTCAAAGTTGTAAGTATGGTATGACACTTATTAGTCCCCTACCGGTTTACCGGAGGGGACTTTAGGTTTACCCTCCGTCCGTCTGTCTGTCCGTCCGTCTGTCCGTCCGTCAGTCCGTCCACAAAACTGGATCCCGCGATAACGCAAAAAGTACTGAAAATATTTTAATGAAACTTGATATATATGGATAGATGGCAGTATGGAGATTATGCACGTCTTTTTCTTTTCTTCCTATGTTGAAAATTCTGGTTGCTATGGCAACAAATAGACTGAAAATATGGCAAATTTTACACATAACCTGGATCCCGAAATAACGCAGAAAGTACTGAAAATATTTTTATGAAACTTGATATATGGATAGATGGCAGTATGGAGATAATGCACGTCTTTTTCTTTTCTTCCTATGTTGAAAATTCTGGTTGCTATGGCAACAAATAGACTGAAAATATGGCAAATTTTACACATAACCTGGATCCAGTGATAACACAAAAAGTACTGAAAATATGTTTATGAAACTTGACATATGGGTAGATGGCAGTATGGAAATTATGCACATCCTTTTTTATCTTCCTATGTTGAAAATTCTGGTTGCTATGGCAACAAATAGACTGAATTTCAAGATTTCTGATTCTAGTTTTTAAGTTTTTTTCACTATAAGTTCTTTATTTCTTAAGGTATTTTCTTCAAACTTTAAATATAAGTTGATGTCATCAACCACATCATATGTGACAAGGTTTTACAACTCTAGCACAAAATTTATCAGAATTACCTCCCTTGAACTTAAAATTTTCATGAAAAAAACATTGTTTTTTTTAATAACTTCTTTTTCTGAATGTATTACTTCAAACTTCATATAAATGTTTCTTATTGTCACTCAACATTTGTGAGTATTCAATACTCTAGCAAGACTATTTCCAGAATTATGCCCCTTTTGAACTTAGACTTTTTTTTGAGAAATTGGTAATTTTTACTCCAACTTCTTCAATCATGATAGGATTTTAAAAATGTTATATTTTGATAACAGGGATGTTTAAAAAATAACTTTAGAGTGTCCTTCAGTCCGTCTGTCTGTACATAAAAACTGTTTCCTGTGATCACTTTTAAAGAACTTTTTCAACAAATTTACTTAAAATAGGAACCTAAGTGAATGGCCAATGACCCTTCAGAATGTTGCTTGGGCTCTTACCAGTAGGGGACTTATGGATTGCTTGCAATACTATGATAATTGCTTATTTTGACTATTTTAGGTTTTATATGAGAATGGTATAAATGGAATGTTGGCTGATGAGATGGGGTTAGGAAAGACCATCCAGTGTATAGCACTGATCACTCAGATTGTTACCATGGGAGCCACTGGTCCTTTCCTGGTTGTCGCACCATTGTCAACTCTACCAAACTGGAGAATGGAGTTTAAACGATTTGCACCTTATGTAAGAATATCTCTTTCTACAAACAGCTTAATTTTGATAACAGACTTTTATAGCCTTTCTTTGAATTTTTAACAGTATGTGTTATTTAGGAGATTTTGTTATTAAAATTGCAGAGAGCTAAGAAAAGGAAAAAGGCTGTAACTTGCATTATTTACACTGTAGCTGCTGTGATTGGTGACAAACAGCTGTGTACATCTGTTTTACACATTTATGTTTCGTGTTTGTATTGTCAGAAAGAAATTTTGACTTTTAAACTTTATGCACATTGAAAATTCATAGGAATAAAAGGAAACAAGTATGTTTTGATACATGATCTATTTCAGCTCCCTCTGGTGTTTCACCATGGCTCAAAAGATTTTAGAAACCTTTCCCTGAAGGATATCAGGAAAAAACACAAAATCATGGAAGGTGTAACTATACATCCAGTTGTGATCACGTCATATGAAGTTGCTATGCTGGACAGACCAGCATTGACCAAGTTTGATTGGACGTACATGATCATAGATGAAGGACATCGGATGAAGAACAGGCATTGTAGGTTGGCAAGGTACGATTTAAAGTTTTATAAAACAAAAATCTGTATAGAATGTAATATTGGACTTTAGCTCACCTGAACGTATCATGGTCAGTGGGTTAAGTGTTGGTGTTTGTTAGAAGTCTGCCTGTCTCAGTTGGTTTGTTAAGACTCTTTAATGCCATAAAGTTTCAAATGTTAGGGTACATGTACCCCCTGTCATTAAAAATCAGGGGTACATTTCAAAATTTGGGGATACACTGAAGTTCAAACATGTTATTGTTTGTTTACTAATTTTTTAACTAAGAACAACTTTTTGTTGAAAAATGAATCCTCGTGAAATTAATGAAAAGTTTACTCACTCAGCTCTATATCTAAAAGTGTATAAAATCTTAACTATAATATAAGGAAAGACTGAAGTGAGAGAGACCTCTTTTAAATAATCTTTTTGTTTCTATTTCCAGGGAACTGAGAGATCTCCTTTAAATAATCATATTGTTTCTATTTCCAGGGAACTGAAGGTGTTTACCACGGCTCATAGATTATTGTTGACAGGAACACCATTACAGAACAACCTGGCTGAACTATGGTCAATGCTAAACTTCTTATTACCAGAGATATTTGATGATCTGGGAAGGTAGGTGTTTAATTATAGATCCCTGTTGGTGAAACATTAAGGAATGTGTTTTATTTCAATGAAAATTTCTGTAGAAAAAAGGCCAGCTCTTTGCATAATCAAAAAATTTGTTAAATTGTTTCTGAAAACCCCAGTTTTCAGATGGGTTTCTAAAGAATCTGACTTTTTGCAAGAAACTTCAAAAAAATCTCTTTTGGAAAAAAGTTCCTGTGCATTCTGAAGATAAAAAAACACTTGTATTATGTATCTTCTATTGTAAACCAATTCACTTTTAAAGTTCGCATATTTCATATTTTTTCTGTGTTTTAGTATTATTATTATCAATGTTCCTAATTTTGTGTCAACTGTCATAACTTCTATGCTTTGATTTCCAATCCAGGGCCGGCAAAATCTGATTTTGACTTACTTGTCCGTTTTAATCTCAGACAATTTTTAACTTGTCCATGTTATTTACATAGTTAATTCTTGAAAGTTTCCACTTGTCCGTACAGGCTGTTGGGCAACCTGGGCAATATGGCAATTGATTTTGCCAGCCCTGCATTCACAGCTCTAAATTCAGTAAATTTTTCCACATTGATGCATCAAGTTAGTGTAAATATGACCTTAAGCAACAAAATTTCCTATTAACCAGCTTTTTAGATAAGTATTACACACTGAAATAAAAAAGTTGCAGGGTTGTCATTAGGAGATGATGGCTGTAGGCCAAAATTATGTCTCAAAAACATTTAATGCCATAAAACTTGGAATCTTGTAATATTTCTATGTTATAAAACCAAAAATGATTGCTGTAAGTTCAAACTGAAATCATTTTGAAAGCATTGAAATGACAACCTGTACAAGTTATTTAATGAAGATTTATTAAATTTTACATGACAGTTTTGAAGCATGGTTTGATGTGACAGTGATGTCAGACGAGGATGCTGACAGTGCTATCATAGAAGAAGAAAAAAAGAGCAACATTTTAGGCATGTTACACCAGGTGAGAGCTTTATTTAACCCTTAGCCTGCTGGCAGTAACTGTTTCTACTCAAGAGACTAGTGCAGACCAAGATAAGTTGGCAAATCCATACCATCTGGTCATATTCCTGGCTGTTTGCTATTCAGTCATTACATATTTTGAAAGTTTCACTAGAAAGAATGAATGGTATTGTCTAGATTGAAAGATGGACAAATCTACTTTAACTATTTAGTATAGTAATGGTGAAGAATGTGTAAATGGGAAATGACATGTGAAACAGATTGTTTTAAAAAAAACACAAACAATTCTTGATTTGAAGTATGAATATGCCATTCTGTTGAATGTAAAATTTAAATAGCAGCCTGAAATGTATTTGTTAAACTTGGATTTGCTCTTGTGTGATAAACAGTGGCAAGATAGGCAGAGATTTTGTGTTTTTGGCAACAGAGTTCTAATCAGCCGTTATTTTCAGATTTTGACTCCATTCATGCTGAGAAGATTGAAAACTGATGTTGATCTAGAAATTCCTCCAAAGAAAGAACTAATAGTGTATTGCCCATTGACTGCATTACAAAAAGACCTGTATGAAACAACTGTAAACAGATCCATTTTTGAGAAAGCCAAAAGTAGAACGGTATAGTGAATTTGTTAATGTCTTTGCTTAAGAATAGAGGTGTAGTATTGGACAAGGATTTCATTCCAGATAACTTTGTCATTTTTAATGTTTTTACTAAAGGAAGGAGACACAATCTTCCTGTATACAGGACATAAGTATAAACCTCAGACCTTCTCAAGGTAGATGGATAGCTGTATATTTCTAAATTTAATAAGACTTCATGATTGTAAAGTGATATGAATTGTGACACCCATACATTGTACATGAATACAAATGATTGTTAGATGTTTTAGATATTTAAGCATAAGAAATTGACGGGTTTTCCATTTATGACCATGTATATCAGTTCTTTATGTAACTAAGAAACAGACCAAATATCCAGATCATAGGGGCACTAATTGTGCTTAAGTATCAATCAGATTTTCCTGGCTGTGTATTGTCCTCTTATTTTCCTACCACTGTCATTCTGTAGCCTTTTATTTGATTTCAAAGACATTTGTTTTATAACATGTTTTATAACTGTATTATGTATTATTGTAAAAAGGAAAAGGAAGATGAAGAATTTCAGAAGGAAATTGAGATGAATGATTTCAAAAGACCAAAAAGAGGTCGGAAGACCTTCACTAGGTAAGTCTGTGATATTGAAGTTGATCTTGTAGTGGAGGGTGATTTTAAAATGCTAAATGAAGATATGATATATTGTCATACAAATAAAAGGGAAAATATAAAACTTTAAATGGTTGACCTACACAGTGACAATGACGGAAACAAAACAAAAATTGATGAACAGAAGTTATGACTAGCTGTTTTGTGTTGGCAAAGAGAAAGCATTGATTTGATCTGTGCAGAAAGTTATTATTTGATTTTTTTTTTTCAACATAACATGAACAATTCCTTTCCACACAAATACTTCATTGAGTCGATTGTATTCATATTTAAGTATTACCAGCTATAAGGTTAAGATGACTTGAAAATGTTCCTTTCATCTACACATCATATTGATTGTTTTAATTGATAATTGTTTTGTATATATAGTGAATATTTACCAGTAGTTATGTTGTATTTAGGAAGCAAGGGCCTGTGGAGGTAAAGACTGCTGAAGTGTCTTATACATTAAGAAATATTATGATGCAACTACGAAAGATTTGTAATCACCCGTACCTTGTAGAACATCCCCTTGGTGAATTTGACATGCCAAAGGTATGTGTAACTTCTCAAAGCTAAATAATTGAAGTTAACTTTCTAGATGCTACATGAAAATTTGAAGGGGAAGTATAGTAATGAATTTAGTTTACCTGAGCATAAAGTACTTAAGGTCAGCTTTTGCGATATCTCCTACTAACTAATGCATAATAATTGATGAAATTTGGAGAGATGTTCTTTGCATGAAACCCTAAATCAAAGTTGTTTAAATAATTCCATTTCATGTTAAAAGAAACTGCTTGCCATGGTAACAAAAAGCAGAATATTTAAGAATCAGCTTGTCTAAAATCGTAAGGCCCACAGCTTTAATATTAGGATAATTACATCAACTAGTGGTCTTTTACAAAAATAATTCAAAGTTCAGCCCTGGAAACTAAAATGGCTTTGACTGTTTTCATATAGACTTAAGCAAAAGTTAGTAACCATTACCCCAGGAAGCTTGCTATTTTAGATGTATTATTGGGAAGAAGGAAAAAACCACAGGAAAATACCATATGTTTCATCAATATACTCAAATGTATCAGTTACATTATTTCAAATATTTTCCAATGGTTTCACTATTTTTTTCCTTACTCACAGTTGTGTTTTCCTCATTTGTTTTTGTAAAGGTGGATGAAGACCTTTTGAAGAGTTGTGGAAAAATGATGGTTTTAGATAAAATGCTTACAGAACTCCGTCGCAGAGGACATAAGGTAAGTCTTACCATTTGTTACAATATGAATGATGATAAATATAGAAGTATAAAAAAATGGATGACCTCCCTGAACATTGAGCAGATTTTGATGAAAATGGAAAAAGGAACTGTTTAAAAATAGCTAGAAATGGTCTGCCTTGCCACCTGTTATAAGTAGAATTGAGCTTTAAATGGCATTTCATTGTGAGCCATTGCAAATATTTGATGAAACTTTCTTTACGTTGATCCTTATTGATAAGAAAAGAATGATTTATCTGATCTGTGTAAAAAAAATGGTGGACTTATCTTAATACAGCAGTACATAATGTACTTGGTACCAGCACAGTATCATGTTGTTAAATACCACATGTTCTCCATTGAGTACTGATTTAAAAAGAGTGCAAGTTTAAATATAGCAATTCACTATAAAGTATCAACATTATATCATACTATGGTAAGTGTATCAGATCCTGTCTTATATCGTTATTGTGTTTGTCAGGTGTTGGTATTCTCCCAGATGACAAGGATGCTAGATTTGATCGAGGATTATTTGTATATGAGGGAGATAAATTTCTGTAGACTTGATGGAAGCCGTAAAATTGAGGACAGACAATCATCTGTAAGTTTGTTGTTTGTTGATTTTGTTGATGGAAATATACTAAAAAAAATGGTAACAGCTACTTCATTTTAACATTTAAAATTTGTTGAAGTGAAGTGAATTGAAATAAAATGAAGTGAATTTAAATAAAATGACACCAAAATAGTTTGATGAAGTTAAGAAATTTTACACAATTAGGTGTAAGAAAGAATCACAAAAATTTATCCAGATAAAAAGATGGACAAATCTAAGATATTTAGTGTGGTTAATATCATTGTGAAATAAAGTAATAATTATAAAAGTCAATATTTTCTTGTTTCTCTGAATTTTTGCAATAGACTGGTCTTGTTTGAAATAAAGATTAATAGAATAGTCCATTGAAAATTTCACAGATAGCATCCTAAAACCCTCACCGCTGTGGGTTCGAATCCCGACAGGGACTTTGGATTCTTTCATGTGAGGAAGCTATCCAGCTGGCTTACGGAATGTCGGTGGTTCTACTAGGGTGCCCGTTCATGCCTGAAATAATGCACGGAAGGGAACCTGAGGTCTTCCTCCACCAGTAAAGCTGGAACGTCGCCAAATGACCTATACTGTGTCAGTGTGACAAACAAAAGCATCCTAAAATACTTGTATATCCTCATTTGACTATATTTAAAAATGGTTGATACTTATATGATGTTAAAAAGGCCTGTGATTATTACGTTTGCTGGCCTGGTACTGTGCATAAGGCTTACTTTTAGCTTGTTAAGCATTGAGAGAGTTTTGAATTAAAAAAGAGAGATTTTATTTGTTTTAGATGGAAAAGTTCAACAAAGATCCAGATACTTGGGTTTTCTTATTGAGTACAAGAGCTGGAGGACTTGGTATAAACCTTGTGGCAGCAGATACTGTGATCATCTATGATAGTGACTGGGTAAATAGCAAATTTAAACAAATTAAATTACTAATTATCCCCCGCCGATGGAATCGGGAGGGGGATATAGTTTTGGCTTTGTCTGTCCGAATGTCGCTTCCGGACTAGTTCTCTGCAACTACTGGCTGGAATTCAGCAAAACTTTATGGAAATCATCAATATCAAGAGGAGAAGCGCATATCGTCGGCTTGTTCCAGTCTGACACTTTAACTCAGAGTTATGGCCCTTGATTAGTTATGCAGTATGCATATAGAGTAAAAATCGTTTCCACGCTACTTCTCTGCAACTCCTGGTTGGAATTCAACGAATTTTTATGGGAACCTTCAATACCAAGAGGAAATGCGCATATTGTCGCCTTGTTCCGGTCAGACACTTTAACTTAGAGTTATGGCCCCTGATTAGTTATGCAGTATGCATATAGAGCAAAAATCATTTCCGCGCTACTTCTCTGCAACTACCGGCTGGAATTCAACAAAACTTTATGGGAACCTTCAATACCAAGAGAAGATGCCCATATCATTGCCTTGTTGGGGTCAGACATTTTAACTCAGAGTTATGGCCCTTGATTAGTTATGCAGTATGCATACATCTCATTGGCATTTCCAGATATTACTATTTAACACAGAGTTATTGCTCTGTTATTGCCCTGAATATTTATCAAGTTTAAAGAATATTACTGTTTATGCCATGATAAATATATAAATAAAGCCTTATGTCTTCAGTTGTTGTGTTAGTAATAACCAGTACTCGGGGGGGGATATAAATTCAACAAATTTGCTTGTTTGTTATAAATCAGAAATGTTGTCACATACTTAGTGGCTACTTAACTAAGATGTTCTTTTGATACACACATTCTGAGGAAATTTTAAGAACAATAGGTCATTGACCAAGATAAGTGCCTCTTCAGTGTTTTACCTACCTTTGGGAACATAGAAGTTTTTGCATAACTCTTAATTTACTTTCAATCTTTGAGAAAAGTCTAAAGTGCTGTCTGTCATATATGCACAGATAAAGAGCAGTAAGATTTCCAATGTTTTGTCTAAAAGCATTGAATAATGCATTCACTATCTATCAAATTAATGTAATAAATTCCTGGTAACTACCATTAACTTACAGAACCCGCAACAAGACTTACAAGCCCAGGACAGATGTCACAGGATAGGTCAAACAAAGCCTGTAGTGGTGTACAGATTTGTTACTGCTGATACGATAGATCAGAAGATTGTTGAACGAGCAGCGGCTAAACGTAAACTAGAGAAAATGGTGATAGCAAAAGGTTGGCTAACTTATTATCTTGAGTAACTCATGATCTTAAAACTTTTTTGCTCGACTTTTCGATAAAAATAAGTAGAGCTATACTAGTCACCTGAGCATCGCGTAACCACTTATGTTTAAGCTTTTGTAATATCTGAAATATTTTCAAAGTCCATTGACATATGGCTTTGAAACTTTGCACACTTCTTCACCATCAATTCATGATCCTAACCTGTAGACAGGAGGTGGTAACTGT